GCCTTTTGATCCATCTTTAACACCAGCTTTCAACTTTGCCTTGATGTCTCGATATTAATAATATGGGGCACCCGAAGGATTATTACCACTGACAATTGACATGCTCACCTCACTCATTTGTCCAGAAAACTTCGAGGGGGACATTTTGCCAACTACATCCAAAACCATGCCTTATAATTACACATCTACTAGTGCGATGCAATCCGTGGAGAGAAATTGCTTGGGTTGTTATTTTTGTATTTTTGATTTGCATCTATTATCCCATTGTTATTAATGTTTTATAAGAACTTTCAATAAAAAAAGTATTAAGGGTCGATATATATCACCTACACCTAATACAGCGCCAAAGAATTTGGGCCAATCCTGAGACTTAAGGGTGAGTTATAGCGTATCAGAGTATGCATAATGGTCAGCCAAGCCTCGATCATTGAGCCCTGCATTAGAACATATCCTATGGAGCTACGGAATAGACAAATGGTTGTTTAGCGCAGGACAAGCTAGTTACAACCCAATGTGTAGACTCAGAAGATCAGTAATGTTGCATTTTTGGAAAGGCTGACACCATTCAGGGCAAATTTCTGACTGAGGCATGAGACCAAACATAGTGAAATCCATGTTTCGTGTCAACTACTACACGCTTCTCTAGGATGTGTATGAAGGGCCAGTTGACTACTGGAGGGACGAAATTGCCCTACACAAATTGTAGAAAACTGATAACTACATATCTCGTCAAAAGTATCCGCACCCCCATTTTCGTAAAGTACCTGTATTGTCATATAAATTTATATAGTACTAAATGTACCCTTTTAGCAAGTCATTACAAGGGTATATTAATGAGGATAGAGTCATTATGTTTAAAGAGTTCTTACTAGGCTAAATTAATTAGTATAAGATCTATATAATATCTAATTTTTATAATATTGTCACATTAAAAATTTGCATAAATAATTAATAAATACTGGCAGAGTAAACATATGAGGGGTGCGGACATTTTTGATCTATTACTGTCACTATATATATAGCCACTGTGAAATAAAAAGAATCTCCGACACCAGCAGCTCATTAGAGGCCGACCTTCTTTCGGTGTTTGTTTTACATTGTGTTGTGTGAGGATGGGGAGCGAATGCAACTAAACACTGATAATATTTTAAGGATGTATTTCATTTCTCATGTGCTCTCTGTACGGCGTCATTTAAGCATGCAGGAAGAACCGCAAACGAAACATGTGCGTAAAAACCAAGCATTCATCATAATTCATAGCCCATTATTGGTTGGAATAAAGCCCATTGTAAAAGAGAAGAACATGCAGGAGGGGAGTTAAAGGAAGGGGTGGGTGCCTGCCCCAGATACAGGTAGAAGAAGGATGCTAATTATAAACGTCTCAGCCCCGTTCGGGGCTTGATTCTTACGGGAACATTCAATTTCCGCACCACAGATGTTTTGCATGCTGGCATGGATAATTTAAGCTCCAACGTAGAGCAAGCGGCATCTGGCGTCAAGTGAGCAGTCGGGCTCAGGTTCGATTCTTGGTTTTTCCCTTTATCCATTGCGGAGAGGAATGGGCCTTTGAGATTCGTTGCTTCATCTTCACTCTTCAGCTTGTTGGGTACCTTCGGCATTACCTGTGGGCTTATATCGTCATGCCGGATGACGAACAAGCTGTCATTAGGTGGTATACATGGCTTGCTAATTGTATTGGATAGCTTTGGAGACTTTCTTCGAGGCGCATTATCCTGGGAGGAATTTGGTACCGGCTTGGTCTCCTTGGTACAGGCAATGCTATTAGCAGCAATGTTCTTCTCCGACGCCGTCATACCACTGAATTCAGCATCGTTGTCATCGCAGCCACCACCATCATCATCATCATCATCAATGAGAACCAAGTCGGGTTCTTCGCACGTGGCGATCACTGAAAGTGGACGTTTTCCCAAGACGCTCTTTCTTGGGCTAGTTTTTGGGATTGTGACGGGAGATTTTGACAGCGACGGGTTGTTTTCTTTTGAGCCCTCTTCATCTTCGCTCTCGCTAAATGGCGCCTCGTATGCTTGATGGTTATGTGTGGAGATAACATCCTGCCTAACTCGAATATCTAGCTTTTTAGCCGCTTTCTGACCATTGGTAGGGATGGCGTCAAGGCGGTGGCTTCTTGCTTTCATCGTCACAGTGGAGGTCGTGCTGCTGCTGTTGGAATCAGCGGATGCCTTAGCCAATCCTGCATTTGATTCAGCCAGGCCCCTAAATGACTCCCCACTTGCAGGTTCATCTCCTCTTCGTCTAGCATCGATGACAGACTCTTTTAAATCGTTGGGTATCGAGGCATGTATCGAAGTCATTAAACTTGCTTGTCTCGCAAAGGAATCATAGTCATCTTGCAGGAGCGCGCCCGCGGCGGGATTCAAGGCCGAATCCGGGTTTGGATGGATTAAAAGACATGATATAGTCTACAATAAATGTTAGCGCAACATGTATTTGGGACAGCAAATTTTGGAGCCAAACGTACGGTAAGAACGTCCTTTAGAGTGAGAACTGGGTCCCAATCCCTCTTCAATGTATCTACGCAAATAGCGCCACTCGTCTCGTCAACGTTTGGATGCCATATTCTGGTTCTAAAGGCTGCCTTTGGAGGGCTTGTGGGGTAATCTTCGGGGATTCGAAGTTGAAGTTGCCAGAGTCCTTGATAGTAAGGCGTACCGGGAGGCCCAGTGAGAAGAACGGAAAGCCGAGTTAGACTGTCAGAACTCATCGAACTATGAGCAGCACCAGTGGGAAAGATGTAGTAGGGCGGGAGGCCATCCCGATGGAGAGATGTGTGATCTTTGGCCAAGCGGCGCAAGTTCGAGCCCTAGCAACGCGAGTGTAAGCAGGACGAAAATCACAGAAGGCAGTAGTTTAATATCATACCATTTTTATGCTTGCAGTAATCTTTTTTTTTTCTTTCAGCCTGCCTGAATTTTTTTTAAAAAAAAAATGGTTGAAGAGAGGCAATGGTAGGTGAACTACGGGTCGCGATGGAGAGCTTGTTTGTTTTCACCAATCAGACGCTAAACCTAACAGGGTTTATATTGGGAACGCGACGCGAGATTTCATGTTTAGCTTGAGGGATGGTTAAACTAACTGACATCAAACAATTTGATTACCCGTGGGATTATGACCTTAAATCGTACAAAATATTTTCACTTGTTATCCCAACCAAATGGAGATTGAGAGACACTGTTCAATTCAAGCCACATCCACCTCGGCATGTAAAGGGAAGTAAAAAGAAAGAGAAACTAATAAAGCCAGTTAAGGACAATAATAGTTATGAAAGCTGGTTTAAGGGGTATTATTAAGCAAAAATATTCCCCATATTTGAACAGTCAAATGACATTGACAGGAATATTAGGATATACAGAAATCGACCATTTCAACTCAGAACAAAGCGGCGATGAGGGCACCTCCGATGACACCAAGGCCTATTGCAGGGGCGGCTGTTGCAGCTATGCCCTCCGATTCGGTACTCGTGGGATTACCTTCAGAATCGGTTGCGGTCGGCCCGCTTGGAGTATGTGATCCTTCTGTCTCGGTGGTAGTCGAGTTGCCGCCAGAAGATGTGGTTGGAGCTCCTGTGCCGGTTGGTATGGTTACAGTTGGAACTGACCCACTGGGCGTGGAAACGCTTGTCGGTGATGGGAGCGAGACGGAAGCATCGGTAGTTCCTGGAGCGGTCACTGTTGGGTCAACAATAATGGAGGTATCCGTTGGTAAGATCGAGAATTCTCCAGTGTCCGTGAGCTGGAAGCCCTATTGTCAGTCTACTCGATAATCCAAGACCATTCTTCACCTCCATATATTGCTTACATCTGTCTGGGCTGCAACAACGGCAGAAAGCGCAATAAGACAAGTAATTGAGAAACGCATGTTGGCCGATATTATGAACGATCACTGCCAAAAGGCCCACAAGAGAATACAGAATGCGATATCTGTAGTTATAGGTGGATGTCTGGAGTTGTAAACGAGGGGCGTCAAAGAGAGTTCTCTAATGATGGTGAAGGGCCTTTTAACTGTTGAAAATGGCCAGGGAGAATCAACTTATATCTCTTCATGGGCGGGAGCTGAGCCAAAAATAAATTGGGTGGCAGGGCAGAGGTACGTATCGTGTTGATCACTTTCCACTTTCTAGATATTCAAGTGGCTCTTCTATCCCGTATATCCTAGCACCTCTCCAAGGAATGGCGGCGACCCTGAAACCAAAGGAAGATCCACCACCCAAAGCAAGAAACCAGTTGGACTCCATCATGGTGCTATCTAGACACTTCATATGACAATAACATAGAGGCTTAGCCTTCAGCCTCTTGTGAGTAGTAGTCGGTGTAATTATTTATAGGCAGCAAAATAGAAGCTTTCGTACTGTTGTTCTTCGATTAATTCAATCCCTCAACTACAAACTACACGTTTCCTGCCCTGGCAGAGAAGCTGGTTGCATGTACGGAGTAATATAGGCACCTAGGTAAGCAGTTGGGAATGTCCATATTCGATCGACAGCAATCCTGACGTCACGATACGTGATTTATGAAACAGATTCGTAAGCCTGTTGGGCTTGTTGTAAAGGTACGGGCTCCATTCCGGCGATGTATTTTGCTCCAGTCTATGACGCAATCTGTGCATGCTCTTCTCAAGTACCTTGCTGCAAGACGCTCATGGTCCCAGGCGGGACGGCATCAGATGGAACAATAGAAAAATCTTCTCAAACAGCATCAACTGGGGAAGGTTGTGGGATGACAAGACTGCAGAGAAATTATCCTGATCATTCATGTGTTTTACCCACGTTCATACATAACTACTTACCTAGGTCCCTACCTAGTGTGTTAGTTAACTAGGTAGTTAACTAGGTAGTTAGTTAGTTAGTTAGTTGTTTGTATGTTCGGAGGCTGCATTCCCCTTCAACCCCATGCAAAGAGATTCAACAACCCAAAAAATATATATTATATATATGCGAGCGAGCGGAGGGCAAAAAAACAATTCGTCAACAGGCAGGCTCGAACTGCCGATCTCCCGGTGAACTGCTTTAGTAACAGCCGGACGCCTTAGCCAGCTAGGCCATGCTGACTTGGTTACGTAACCGGCCAGGTACATCTCCACGTATTTTGTGAGGAAAGGGACTTTGGTTGAAGAAGGCTGGAAACGATAACTTCCTAGGTACCTACCTACCCTTTAATTCTCCTCTAAACTGTTCAATAGAACTAGCAAAACAGCCAGCACTGCAATTGAGTTGAGCCCAATCCTAGATTGATGATGCATCTAGTTCATCTGCAACTAACTAACTAGTTAACTACTCATGGCCAATGCCTAGACAGCTACCTAGGTACCTAGGTACCTGCCTGTTAATGATGAGAAAGAGTTTCAAAATCGATGCCCTAGAGCTCGTCCTCAGGTTTTGACCTGTACTCGGAAGGTTTGCAAGTTTAACTTATAGTTACATCATCATGTTCAAAAAGAGCAAGTAAAAAGATAAATCACGATTCTACAGGTATATCTTTTTCGCGAACCCAATCCTCGAACTCCTTACGCTTAGTCTAAGAAGTCAAGTGTCCAACGGGTTAATCACCAATATACCGAGAAAATCCAAAGCAATAGAAGGGGGGTGAGGAAAGAATGGTGATCAATGGGAAAAGCATACCCTAATATCTAAAAACCCAACCCGCTCTTCCATCCCATTAAATGGGTTCTCTGCACCACCTTTCCTCTCGATCTCGCCGGCCCACACGCTCCAACTTATTGGCCGTAGGCTTTCTGCTCCTAGAACCAGGCCTATCGTTACGAAGGCTACGGACACGAGAGTCTCGAAGATGATGTCCGTCGGAATAGAGTGCGCGTTGCCGTAGAGGGTTGCATGTTCATGTGTGGAATAACCACTGTAGGCACAGAAGCCTGCGAGTCAACTATCTCAACTTCGGATGTAAAGGAACGCGAAAGGGTTTAGTCTTACGCATGAGCAAGTAAAAGTAGGCCAATGCCTATTATGAGGCGGGAGATGAAAGTCATTCTGCGGTCTGTGGTGCCACGTTTCGTTTTTGCTTGTTTCTTCGTGGTCTTGCAGCTACTTTTCTTTATCGTTTGTAAATTGTAGCATAAGTAGAGTGATGTTTGTGGTACGAAAAACCAAAACGCACTGGAGAATACCGAATAAAAATAATATACATCTTTCAGTTCTTTACAGCTTGATGCAGAGCTTGATATAAAGTTATGGGAGTTAGAGACTGCCAAGTATCTTTTTATTCTTACCTAATCCTCGCTAACGTAATCCACAAGTCAACCGATCACTTAATTCAATGCAACACAACTAATTAAATTAAACAACCACATTAAATAAGAAATATACCTATTAAAAACTAGGATTAATTCCTCCTGCCTGTGGGCAATTACGAGCTGTATGTTTGGACCCCCTACATA